TTTTTACTCCTTCCAAGTTCCTTCCCTCGTACCCCGGGTGGGACCTTCTACTTGACTTGCTACTGGCTGCTATGTACTATCTACGTTCTCGACCCTCCTTCCCTTCCTCAGGGCGCAGAACCCAAATAGCGAATCGGATTAATTATAGAAAAACTATCATTCAATATATAGTAGACATACAGATCTAGACATACTTACCAGAAATAGGTGTGTAATAATACAGCCTCCCCCCCTCGTTGCTCCGATACTTACATGGCATGCTATATTGCGAGAGAAGATTGCACATATCGATGGTGAGATGATACAGTAGTTTGGAGCTAGGCCCATGCACAGTGCGGGGTCTCCGTATCTGCTTGCTATCGTCATTCTCTGATTATCATCGATATCGATTTCATTATTGGCTCTCTACGTACTAGATGACTACTACATGAATGCGGTATAGAAGGTGGAAGCCCTTGGAACCTGGAATGGATTTTCATTACAATGTAGACTGACAGTGGCGTCGTATGATGAGAACTAAATGAGGGAGTCCGAGGGAGCTTGAACGAAAAAACAACAAAAGATGCTTAGTATTTTAGGCTTAATGAGTGAGTTCATAGACTATGTCAGACCCAATATTCGAGTGTTCCCACTTGCACTGAATCTTCTCCCGCTGCGGGTGGCGTCCGGACATTCACACTCCAGACTAGTTTCCAAGTCTTTTTTTATTTTGTAATATTCGTACGATGAGGAAATACTACGAGAATTAGCCATCGTTGAAGATTTAGCGGTAGTAGTAATACAGAAATATGTGTGTGGGGTGGGGAATGTCGAAGAAAAAGGGCTACAAGGTTGTATGAGTACATCGAGTACAAACCAGATATAGTAGAGAGAAAGTCTAATAATGACGACCGTTTGACCAAACACATGTAGGGGTTTGAGCTCTGGAAGATACAAAGGGGCATGGATAGCAATGGACCGATAGGGAAAACAAATGTTGCACGGCCATAGATGATGAGGAAAGGAAAAAAGCAAGATACGAAGCAAGAGGGGTGGATGAGATGGAGGTTTCGCGATATGTCACGAATGGGTATGAGATGGTCGGGCGGATATAACAGCAAAAGGACGAGTGGTTGAAACGTTCAACTTCGCTTCGAACAATAACTACTACTCGCTCTTCTCCGTGCCCTAAATAACCGGAACCTAAGCGACAGGGAAACAGCCAACCACTGTTTCTTCATCGCCTGAGAGTAACTCAGCGCGGTCTGCTGATGGGATGATAAATCCTGCTCTTCGATAGGAGATTCATGGTCTTCTTCGACGTCTTCGACATCTGAAACATCATCGAATTCAAGGGCATCGAGTGATAATGGACTCGGCGGTGAGCTCGAGTCGGAGGAATGACGTCGGAATTTCTTGGGGAGGATAGAATGGTGATGATGGTGGCGTGGTTTGTCTTCAAAGACGGAAGAGTAGGATGAGTATGGGAGATGAGATGTTATTGATGATGGTGACGATGAAGTGGAGGAAGAAGAGGGTATCGAAGATGTGTAAGAGTCGGACGAGGAAATGGGGTATGCATGTGATTGGGATGATCGTGGCCGTCGTGTACTTTGACGACGATGATACTGCGTTGGTCTTTCCTCGTTATCATCATCCTCTTCCAAATCCTCGTCCCCATACTGAATTTTACTCCTGTCCCAAGGATCCGATACTCTTCTCCCGCGTTTGTTGTTCTTCCCTGCTCCCTCATACACAGGGAAATAATGAAAATCTGGATCGTGCATTTGACCTCGACGATCGATGTATACTCTGGCTGGCTCTGTCGACGAGACGCCGTGGTTGTTGGATGGATGATATGAAGGGTCCATGAGCCGAGAGATATCAGCATTAGCAAGCTCGATAGAATGTCTGGAAGATTTCATGTGGAAAGGATGTGAGTTGGGGGGCATCACAACGGTTATGAGGGAAAGTTCAGGACTCCCGACAGAAAACCACCCGAGGGTCTTTTATATGTTGAGCCGCATCGGAAGGGTAATGACATTTTTGAGTCAAAGAACTCACAAGCTGAGTCAGAGTTATTTTCGATCGGAAATCGGCAGTTGGCCATCGGATTGTTTGTTAGTCATCCCCTTTTCGTCAATGTTCTGCCGAAAATGATGAGATAATCCGTCTTCCGGCCGAACCGCTCCTCTGCCTTGAGCCAATCAGAATCCGTTTTCCGAGTTTACCCGGGCGAAGGAGAAAGTTAATTCCATTTGAGGACTGAGGAAAAAACCTCTCAAACTTCTGGCGCATAACCGGAGATTCATAATCGGCTTTAGGCTTTTGTTTTTTGGTTGGTCTCTACCAGTGACCGCGGATGGCGGTGAACGAGGAAACACCACTCCATTTTTGGGAATTACGCTTACGTGGCGTTCCGACTATCCGAATGGTTCCAAAAAAAAAAACATCTGAATCCCCCCAAATCCGCGTGTTTGCGAATGACACGGAAAACGCGTCGAATGACTCTGTGTAGAGATTGTCATGGGGTTGCACTCGAGGCGCGTTGAAGCTCGTTGAGAACGCGTGTACATACGTGTACCTACTACACCTTTTAGACAAGTACCACCTGGTACACAACAAAACAAAGCGCTAATCTTCCGAACATCTCTTGGATTTCAATAATCCACCCGTACCTCGTACCTCCACAAAATATCGATATGTACCTTCACAAGTCTAGCCCCTCGAAGCCAACAAGCAACTTCCTTCCCTACTTGGGCCCAATCAAGTCCATCCTCCGAATTTACTCCATCTTCTTATGATTCAACAACCAACCCGTCGTGTAAAGATAAGATATATCCGGCGTCGCCGCTGCGTCCTTTTCGACCTTCTTAAACTGCCATGGGAATCGGGATGAGCCAAAACTGGAAAAGAACATTAGTGGTCGACCCCTGGTTGAATCCGGAGCGAATCCTTCCACAACATACAAACATGTAAAGTACAGAGAAAGCCTTTGGCGGAAGGACACGAACAAAACTTTTATCGGATGAAAGAACATGCCTTTACGAACTATTATTAGCGATGCAAGCCAAAGCAGCCTAGCGATTATCGTGTTCGGAAGAGATTATCGGATGAACAAAGATAAACCCCCCAATGATTATCAATGTCATTCCGGAGCAAATGTTGAAATCCCCAAGCAAAAGAAACAACCGAGGAAGAAACCACACCTACATACCCTTTTCGGGGAATGTTTTCCGGAAAATCTCACAGCGTAGTAAAATCCCACAGGGTAACTAGGAAGAGTGCACTGCAGGAAGGCGTCAACAGGCGCCAACGTGTGGTGATCATCTTACATGTCAATGGCCGCGCGTGGTCAAAAAAGAACAGACTTGACTTTCGCTGGAATCATACATTCGCTTGTTCGTTGGCCGCGTGTGGGGAGTCCGAGTCTTTGGACTCACTCTTTCGCCGTGTGGTGGAATGTCGTGTGGAATGGTTTATTACATAGGAGGTAGTGTGGTGAACACGTCGTCCGTCGGTATGTACAAGCCCCGTTGTTGAATCGTGTTGTCCTCGTAAACCTTGAGTCATCGACAGACAGACAAAACTTACCTATAGAGGGCGCAAAGGCCCACCAACACATGCGATTTCAGCGCAAAACTGGACATACTGTCTGTATGGACCACATTCCCATTCCCCTTGCAACATACATACACCTTGCGCAGTAAAACAGAAGACGGAGAGGAGAGCTCATCGTACTAGACCACTGTACTCTTCATATCCGCGCACAGCGTGAACTTTGGTTCATAGTACCCCATTCCAGCTTCAAGTGAAAAACCAAGTCTCAAAGAACGCTCCAAGACCGCTCCAAGAGCGACCCAAGAACGTCCATCTCGTCCATCGTCCCTCTTGCGCAGTAGTCATCATGCATCATCATCCGTTCTCGGCTCGAGCTCCGCGGAAGTCGTGGCATTCCTGGAATCCACACACACACACGCCCCAATGACCAAGCAACGAATTGAAAGAATTGAAAGAGAGAGAAAGTTCAGAGAAAGGTTGATAGAGTCACACGACTCCGAGCACTTCGAAGCCTCGAGGAAGACAGTAGTACCTTTGTGTTGACTACTTTTTCGGGAAAAGGGAAAGGGTAAACGGTTTCGAGTCATTCCGTTGGATCCGTCTTGAGGCTGAATAATGTCTTGATAATCCTCTTTCCGACGAACGATAAAGCTGAATAATGAATATTTGAATAATCGAGGATGGTGGTTTTTGAGGTACAGCGGTACATAAATGCGACTGTTGTTTCGTCATGGCTGCACTGCACACAGTGCACAGGTAGATGTATATGATAGCGCATATCAGATGAAATCAAAGAATCGTATGATCACCGGCGACGCGATCATCAAGGAAAAAAGCTTCAAGGTAGGTTTTCAAGGACATTACATCCTACCTAGGTTGAATATGAATATGAATAAAAGATCAGAATTCGATAAGCAGCACTGCAAATCATCACGAATGATACATACATAGGGGAGAAACACAGTGAACATGGGGAATCCAAAATACCGCTAAGCTTCAAACACAGTGCACACCCACACAGTCGCGTATCCGCGTTTTCCCACTGACGAGTATGCGCACAACTTGAACTTGTAGACCGCGTGTACCTGGCGAAAAAAGGACACTCGGAACTTGAAGAAGTAGTGATAGACTTAGACATGCGAGAACCCTTCAAAGCCTTTCCGATAGGTAAACAAGAAGAATAGGTGAATGACAAATTGGGAAGAGAAATATCAGATCACCTCTTCACATTTTTGACGGAAAGGACTTCAAGTTGAGACTTCTTGGAAATCAAAGCACACTCACCCCTTCGATTGAAAACTCTGCAACACCAGCATTTCTGTATTCAAATTCTCAATATCTACGAAACCCTGACTGCCATGAGCAAGAAATCATAGTGGTGGAAACATTCTACACGAAAGTTCAAATTTTACTGATACGTGAATAGGCACTATAATCTTCCTCGTTGAATAAACATTACTGTCCCTGTAGATTAGTGGTTAGATCACCACGTTGTGGCAATTTGGCTGACAACCCGTGGCGACGCAGGCTCGACTCCTGCCAGGGACATTCCTGGAGCCTAAAGTATAGGGAATAATTCCATTTTTGGGGTTCCGAAATAGGTTTATATGTTACATCACTTGTAAGGACTATTCAACCCGGAAATGATCAGTTAAGCAGGAACTATGTATAGACAGATCACATCTTCATGATAATTAGGTCGAATAACTTTTCCATTTGCAACCCGATGTTTTGGGAAGTCGAGGACTGAGGAGAAAGGCCAACGGAAAAATAGAGGATTGATTGTCGTACTACATGCAAAGCCTCCAAGAAAGCGGAATATCAAAGATCAGACTACATATTATTCAATATGACCATTATGCCAGTGCTACAGCCTCAAATTAGACCTCGACAAACACATTGGTGCGACGCCCTGTTTCAATCCGTCTTCTTATGACCAGCATTCGTCGTAGTTAGATATGATCTATCCGGCAACGCCGCTGCGACCTCATCAATCTTTTTAAACTGCCAGGGAAATCGAGAGGGGTAGAGGAACGGTCGAAGGTCGAATCCTAACATCGCAGTCAATAAGTGAAGCAAATAAAAGAGATGAGGAAAGATCGCACGATTATCATCCGGAGAGTATGATTCCTAACGAATGAAAGAATCAGTCATCAATCCACACTCACGATATGAAAATCTCACAGCGTGATAGGAAGGTGTCAAGGTGGTCATCTTGTGTCGATTCCGTGCGTGCTCGAAGAAAAACAGCTTGACTTTCTCTGCAATCTGTTCATTTTTTGTTCGTTGCCAGTGCAAAGTGAGGGCAAAGTGAGTCAGTGCGGTGATTGTCGGTAAATGCGCTGTTAACGCATGATACTTTGAGTCAATTGTAAACGAAGCTCACCTGCAGAGGGGACAAGAACCCACCCCACTCGTGTACCAATTTTGTGAACGTGCTGTACGGACCACACTTCTCCACCTTGCGCAACCGACCGAAGACGGAGAGCTCATCGTAGGTCATACCCATATCCGCCTACAGCAATCATTACAATTTTAGCGGGAAGACCAAAAAGAATCTGTGGGTAACAAAGAACAACAACCTACCTCATCAGCTTGCACATAATTCTCCGTAATTGGCTCAAGCTCCGCGGTAGGCGTGGCATCTAGGAAACTACGAGGAGACGTCAATGATGACGAAGTGCGAGGTCAATATTAATTAATTCGCCTCGAGGTGGCTTTCCGCTTGCTCAGCCCTCCTTACCTTTTCAGGATAGGCAAGTCAAATGAACCTTCTGCCCAAGCAATGAATTTCTTTAGGTCCGTTTTACTGATTCCCCCGATTGGGTTGATATCAGCTGATTGGAAGATATAACCGGACTCTTAGCACCCGGTTGCATGTAGAGGAGGGGCAGAATACTCACCCGAAGAACAATCGTATTTGGTCAGATAACCGCGAAGACTGGACGAATGTGTGTACATGAATGTGAGAACAAAGATGAAGATTGGAGATTGAAAACGCAATGAGAATAGACCATAAAACATGATGAACTAGTATGGTCACCGATGACGTGAAATGATTATATATCGGTAGAAAGGGGAACAGGAAGAAGGAAAATAGGATATGGGGGATTGAAAATAAAGCAACACGTACCTCTCATCAACGTTTGCACTACCGAGAACAAGAAGACCACCGACACGCCCGCGTACCCAAGGAAGAAGCTGAGCAAAGAGGTATGCAAGGACCATCCGCAGCCTTGCCTAAGAGATCGTGAACAAGCAAGTGAGTGGAAAGCAACTTGCAACGGCAAATCGAGACGTTATGCGGTTTTCGATTGAAAAAAAAACAACGGTAAGGGAGCTGGAGGAAGAATGTATTCACCTGAATATTCTGCAGTGCTAAATTCTCCGCATTCGAGCCTCCATGCGCACGAAATTCTGGTTTTACACCAGTAACGAATCCAAAAAGGTTCCGCACTGCGGTAACGACTGTGTCCATGTTTAAATCAATGTGATAGCTGGGCAAGAAATCCGTCAAAGCAACTTGAGCAAAGGCCGAATCTTGTATCGCACCTTCCAATCGCACCAGCCAAATTCTTCGCTCTATTCCTAGTCTCTGCACTGGAATTCTCGGTACCCATATAACATGTATGGAAAATCCTCCCTGCGAATTCGCGAGGGTCCGAAGGGAGGTACCCGGAATCTTCTGGCTCACCAGCAATCCGGCGGGCATCTGCGATGACTTGCTTATCGGCTCTTCGCGCCGCTTCAGCGACCAAGCGACACATTGAGAACACGATAACAGCTGTTGCACAACTGTCTATCCCACCACTGAGAGGAATAAAGTAGCCTTGGGTGCGGGAACGACGAAGATAGTCCCAAAGCCAGCATGCCGGTCCTAGGCTGTCAAGAATGAGGAGAAGAATGGTATGAAGAATGGCACACTCACGCAATCTCTTCTTCCGGCCGATGATACCTTACCTCCATCGTCTTAGTGCTCAAGAACCCGATCATATCTTCCTCACGTACTTCCTCGAATTTCCCAAGTGACAGAGCAAACGGAACCTCGATCCGTGGGTATTTCTCGGCCTGCGCTGCTTGCATACTTCGACTACTCTTCGCGCGATGGGAACGCACATCCTCGATGTCGATCGTAGCGGTCACTACCTCGACGTCGTTGAGTGAGAATTGCGAGCCTTGCGCTACGATTCGACCATTGACAGCGATCAAAGCACATCCATCGTAGTAGAGTCTGTCACCGTCGCATCCTTGTTGATTTGAGTAGAGATAAACACCACCGAGCTGCGGACGGAAGTGAGCGGAAGGGAATACCGAGAGTTGAGTTTACATACCTTTAATGTAGCTTCCTTGATTAATTCTACGCGGGTGTAAAGCTTACGCAGCTCGTGGTGGCTACCGCTAGAATTAGTGAAAATCTCGACACCGTCCAATCCCATAAGAATATGGGGGCTAACGAAAGCTTTAGGAGGAAGACAGAATGAAAAAGCTAATTTGCGAACCTCGCAGGCGTGAATAATTCCTCGCATAACTCCACCCCAATGCAAGTATCCGCTGTACTAATAACCGCGTCTCCAAATGGTACTTTGGTCTAAGAAAAGGGTTAAATACTCTTTGGAGGAATCAACAGAATTATGGACCTGGCCCGTGACAACTTGTATAATTCTTGGCAAAAAGTGATCCTCGACTTGTCTGTGTTTGGTCCAAGGAGTGAAGTATCGTAGTTCACGATAGTTTCCATCATTAGCTAACCACATCTTCGGTCTAATTAACAGAATCTTGCGGTTTTGGATAATTACACGGCAGTTATATATCGTGTTCTTATGTTCTATAGGCCTGAGATAGATATCGTGCATTATGAGTCTTGTCAGGCGGGGCAGATGCAGGGTACACACATTCCCAGATCGCACACGATTCCTGAAGTCTCTTCGGATGCCAGAATCTTCGCAAGAACCTCCCATGAATGAAGAACGGTATCGCCTGGTCATTGATAGTTCAATCCGTAGCAGATATTGCGGTAGGCAGCCCATGTGTACCTTCAAGGAAGTGATCAAGACATCCATATCCACTGAGAAGGCAGATCAGCAGGTGAAAGAGTAGAAAATGTGTGAGGATATACGGTATCTCCAACTCAGGTCCTACTCTCAACGTTGCGCCTCGTCTTTTGGCGACAGCGATACTCTCCAGTATTCTTTCCATGTTACCCTTGATTAACAGATTAATCGCTTCCCTCAGCCAGACAGACAAAGTGAGCTTTAAAAATACCTGAAAGTCTAAAGCCCATTGGTTTAACGAGCTTGAATCGGACGATATATAATTAGCATCGTGAGTCCCAATTTACCTCGAGGGAACGAACCATCTTTATTATTCCCTTTGATTAGCTTCAGCAAGGAGAAAGCTTGAAATGACTTACGTAGCCAGTGTAATTAGATGGCCCATGAATTATGAGAGCACGGAGTTCTTGGGAATCGAATTTGATTGTCGTAGAACCAGAGGATGATCCCAGCTGGTCCGTGCGCTAATCGTTTAGCGCCATTATGTCTTCCCCGTACGTCTTCATCTTCTTATCGGCACTTCATTCAATCCCTTCAATCTTGTCCTTTCCAGGAAGAATACAGCTTGCATGCAGACGCCTCTGAGCTGGGAATATTACGTGCTCGTGGAACCAATGAGAGAACGCTTTAGAGAACGCTCCAGACAATGACTGTCCAAGTCTCTGGGACTGACAGATCTCAAGTTGAAGATAGGGATTCCACGAAATGGACACCTGACGCTCCTCCTTGGAACCTGAAGAAGTTGGAACTCCAATAATACCAGGACATTACACAGTTCAGGCCGTATTTAAGCCTCAGAGATGATTTGTATAGATTATTGCTACTTGCAAACTCTCAAGAATGTGGAGCACAGTACTGTTATATATCGGGGTCATCCTTATCACTCTTCGAGCTATCAAGACGTTGCATATGTCTCCGCGCTCAAAACTACCTCCTGGGCCTACGGGGATTCCAGTTATTGGAAATCTTCTTCAACTTCCCACAAGTAGACCGTGGTTACTTTTCGATGAGTGGATAAAGCAATACGGTGAGGAACGTTTATCTACATTCGATAATCTCAAAATTTTGATTATTGCAATAGGACCTATCATTCATCTTAATATCGCAGGTCAGAACACAATCGTGCTAGGAACACACAAAGCAGCAGCAGACCTTCTAGAACGACGAGCAAACATTTACTCAGATCGGCCTTACTTCGTTGTTTTCAATCTACTTACTGGTGGTATGCACTGGGCCTGGACCCAAGCAGATGAGTTATGGAGGAAAAAACGGCGATGGGCACATGAGTGGGTTTTATCATACTGCAAGACACATCGGCTCATTGACCCCATCTTTTCACAGAGCATTGAATGCTCAGGCAGCCAAAGAGTATTTTCCATACCAAGAGACCGAGTCTGTCATTATGCTCGATCAATTGTTGGCCCACCCGGAAGATTTCACTAACCATTTTCAACGCGCCTCGACATCTCTTACACTTACTATAGTCTATGGCTGGCC